CCCCAAAAAAATGAAACGATTTTCGTCAATTAATTAATTAATAATTTTTTGGATAGAACTACGTCACAAAGCCTTCATATCTTTTGAAAATTGTTGGTATGCATTCAGTGTTAAGTGTTCACATAAGTTTCCTCTAGCAAAAACGTCCTATTTTCAATATTATTTTGATATAAAAATTAAATATTTTATTTAGTCTTTTTTTATGTAAACCAAAGACAAACCATTTTGTAATGGTAATTCAAAATATTAAAACTCGATACTCACAATTTAACGCTATAATTTGTGTACTGATCGTGAAAGTGTTAGCAGTCAAATTGTACCTCGACACTTAATGCAAATTTTCATAGCATCCGCACATATTAAAAGATGAACCGGTACAGCGATATATTGTGCAACTATCTTTCGCCAATTATTCAATCTATGACATTTTACTCCGAATGTGCAAATTACCAAGTGTACAAATCTGCATATAATACTATACATACATTGTGACAAATTCCTTAATTTCTATGCCAAATATGAGCTTGCCAACCAGTTTGTTTACAGCAGCTGCTTAAATTAGTACACTTCACTAGTGCGTTCCAATTTTTACAAGGGATAAAAATCTTCCCTTCAGGCAAGTGTTTTAGCCACAAAAGTCAACAACCATCGGAATGGAACCCCTCAGTCAATTGAAAAGTTAAAACAAAATTGGACAAAAGGAGCAAAAAGTGCTTATGAAAAGTGTTTGAGGACTGGAAAAATAAGTGTATTACATCTGGTAAGAAGTAAGTTAAAGTCGACAAAATAAATACTGATGAATAATTAAATATTTTGCGTTTTATTATTCCGGGTATTTTTTTTTTTCATAATGTTTACAAGTTGTGTTGAACAAAAAAATCTAATATCGAATTTGTGGGTTGAAATTAAAATACAGAGAAAAAAAAGAAATACCGAGCAAAAAAAATCTCTGCAAGGCAGGAGTTTATAAAGCATTCAAAGTTTCTCATGGAAAACATAAAAAATGTAGTTTCATTGAAAATACCAAAACCTTTGAATTGTTTAGGATTGTATTTTTACAGCGAGGTTCCTGTAGAGCACACAATTTACTAAAAAATCCATGTCAGCATATTATTTTTTCAATTAAAAAACTCAAAAATACCGATATTTCAAGGTTTTGAAAAGCTTCACCTTAATGTTCATACATACATATGTACATACATCGTTCAAATATGATTGCCGCTTTTAAAGAGTTTACAAAATTTTACTGTTTAATGGAAAAAAGTATATATATAGCAAAAAATAATAAATGAGTTTAATACTCGCGTATGTAAGGTTATTGTGACAACAACGGAGGCACAGCGCTTTTTATTAAAATTAAACAAACAGCACTTTAACGCATGTTTATTTATCCGATTTGCTCGTCGGACATTGGACCCGGTCTACAAAATTACCCTGCTGATCGCCAGCACGACCGTTATGGTATGGTTATAGTGCAGATGGCAAGATCTCTCAGCGAAAAAGAAAACAAACATGAGAACACGAGGCAAAAGGTGAAAAACAATAACAAAAGCGGTAGTGTTGGCTATCGTAGTTCATTTTAATAATTGTGTTGTAGTGTAATTGGGTTTTCATCTATTATTTACGCCGACACCTAAATTCTTTATAGTTGAAGTGCTTGTCGGATGAGCGCAATTTTGCCAGCTACTTATGTACGTATTTAAATATGTTTCTATTCTTAATATTTATATATGTATACTTTATTGTTGTACTGTATTGCTAAATTTCATAAGTCGAAGTATGTACATCACGAAACACTCTCTGGATTGGCTAATCTCAAAGTGACTTTTTCATTAAAATTAATGTTGTTGTATAACGCCTTACTGGCTTTATGTTAATTTATGTCTGGTTAATATTTCTGTTCAACTCAGTTCAGTTAATGAATCTGTGGGCATAGCTTCTTTTGCAAATTGCCAATTCTGCGACTTGGAGTCTGACACTTCAGAACACCTGCTAATGGACTGCACAGCAATCTGTAGACACAGGACTAAGGCCCTTGGATCCATGTTTCCAAATAGGGACCACATCGCCTCAATAGCACCTAGCAGTATATTGTATTTCATCAATTTGCTGGGTCTTTTGGTGACATTATGAGTTAGGAGAGGGGGTAGGGTCTAGGTCGCGGTGCAATCGTCATTCATTTATTTATCTTTTTTATCTTTATCTTTCTTTTTGGGTTATGTTAGATATGAATTGCAAACTCTTGGGTAATTGTTTCTCATTTTTCTTTCGAAAATTATTTTAAAAGTTCTTTGACCATTAACCTTTTTATAAATAGTTATATTGTAGGTTAGGATTTCGGACTCGGTTATTGACTAGAAATGTGTTATAGGTACACTCTTTTTTATAAAATGTCTCTTTCCAGGGTCTATACTCTCGAGTAAGGATTAGAAATGATGAATACTTGCTGAACTTATATTAAATGTCCAATTTTAACGTAAAATTCCATGAGATTGAACATTGAAACACTTAAATTTCAAAAATTTAAACAAAGCATTCGTAAATCCTCGCTAAAAACTCTTATCATTTAGATATAACATTATCAAGGCAACATTTATAATAGCTAAATAAATATAATACCCACGTCAGCACCCACAAACCACAACAAAAACACATTTATCGTATTTATTCGTATTTCTAAAAAACTGAAATAATTTGAAGTGATATGTCATGCCATGCCGGTGTCATGAGAGCCACTCTGAACTTTGCTCTCGCAACTAATCACTACGATTTACGGTATTATTTTTTTGTTATTGTTCTCGTTCTTTTTTTGCCGTTGTTTTGATTTTGTTTAGAAATCAGTATCAGTAGCACACACTACTCAGCAAACGCTTCAGGTTACAATAATTGTTTGAATGGGTTGGTCGATTAGTGGATCGAGCGAACGGCCGGGAACGGTTCAACGAATGACACTGATGCCTTGCTTTAGACTGCGTAGCCTCTACGCGGTAGACTTTGTACCGGCAACAATTGGCAAATGACATTGAGTTTGTTAGGCCAAGTGGTGTGTTATTGATTGTCGCCGGGGCTGGTGAGAGCGGGGATTTTGGGAAAGACAAGTGCGGAACACTTGCGGCTGACATTGCTAGGGCTGTTATTGGCACGGGTACTTAAGGATAAATAGAAATGTGATAAATTGTGGGTGTCGCATAGCAACCCTGAAAAATATAAGACAAAAGTGGTGATAAAGTCCAATTTGTGTTTTTTCACAGTTGCTTTTTGCTTTGTTTTTTGTTTATTTTTTATGATGTAGCTGCTTCTGATTCTTCCACTCGTGCACTGGCTATCAATTCAATTAGCCTCAATTGAAAGAGTGAGCTCGCTGCGTATAAAAATTTTATTCCGAAAAAGAGCACTTGTTGCTGCATTCAGATTGCTGCTGAATGGGCGCTTGTGGGTGGCAAGAAACGTAAACAAAACGTCAGATTGTGTGAATAAAAAAAAATAATAAAAACTTGATATAGATTCATAAATATTATTAACTGAAAAATAATAATTTATAACAGTTCAATTCTATAACTCTAAAAAACAACCTTCAGAGATTTTTTATACGATATCATATTGATTCAATTATATAATATAATATATCACAAAAAACAAAAAAAAAACACTACAATCCGATTTGAACGATTTCGTATGATAGCGATGTGTATATTATCGATACAGCCCGATTTCACCGAGGTTTTTATGAATTGTGTGGCTAATCTTTACATTAAATTTCGAAAACAACTTCAGGTACATACATACATATGTATGTACACACATATATACAAATATTTGAAATATATTTAAAAATAGCTTTTGTGGTGGAGGAAAAAATACCATACCGTTTAAAGTCCAACTGAATTTTTTGGCACACAAAGCGACATTGTGACGGCGTGGGGGTTCAGCAGTATTCTTATTCTTAATAAAACGAAATAAAAATCATATTTTTAGCACCATTCTTTTTTCATAAATGCTTGAATAGTTTCATTGCGTCATTTTTTACTTATGATTTTTTCGCCTCTTTAACGGTGAATGTTTTGATATACATACATATATATTTTGTTGATTATTTGATAAATTATTTTTAACCTTTGTTTTGGTTTGTTATCATATGCGTTGTTTATGTTGTTAACTGGTTTCATTGAAAACTTGTATCGGCGGTAATTGTCTGCGCTACGCAATATTACTCAGAATTTCCAGCTTTTAGTTTTTATTATTTATTAATACGAAGTTTGTAAGTGACATTGTTATATATACATATATGTATGTACTACCATAAGCAAAAAAATAGTAAGACTTTATTCATAATTTTAAAATTCTACAAAACCTATATCGCTCCCTTAAAGTATTACCCCGTGCTTTCACTTTTCTTGCGCCCAGATGTTAACGCGGCGCTGTTTTTTTCGAAAAAATGTAGTAAATATGTTGACATGTTGATCATCAGTAGATGTTGGTGGCCGTCGTGGATAAGGTTCGTCGTCAATGGGTTATCGACCCTTTTTTTGCTCGCGACAAAGAACGATTACCGAAGGGATTTTCCAACAGCCGGTGTGAACCAGTGATATCGGACTACTATAGCATACAATTGTCATTTGAACTAATCGATGAAAATCTAGTTTTTGTAAGGAAACATTTTTTTTTATTATTTGTGAAGGGTATTAAAGCATCGATGTAGCTGAAGTTAGCGTATTTTAATGTTTTTATTAGTTTTGAGTTATAATGTCATTAAGGTAAATAAATTTAAGGGTGGTTAAAAAGAAAAATAAAATATTGCAAGGTTATTTTAGTCTGTTTCACACATTCATATTAATTTGTGTGTTTCATTTAGTAATTTACACATTTTGCTACGAAAATCGCTTATCTTCCAAGTAAATCTAAAAATATGTACATATATGTTTTATAACTCATTTATATGTTTTATTCATTCATGATCACACATTAGATGTACCGTTTTCTCTGTGCCTCTTTCGTTGCAGATCATTTCAATCGTATATCTGTATAAATTGAGCATAAAAACAACTATAATTCAGCAATAGTAAAGCATATCTATAAAAGAATACCTAAGCATTGGCCCGAAGACCAAAACTTCCCAGCAATAGCACTACATATTGTACAACAATAACAGCAGTTCAAAGAACAATTACAATAAATAAAGCGAGGAGAAGGAAATAAGTACTTCAGAAGTAACAGGTCGCTGGTGAATCAACGGATTCTGTATTTATTACATCACACGCGTAAACGACTTTGCTTCCTGTCTGGCATCCTTATCGATTGACATACAGACGTGCTGAAAATGTTTATCGAAGATGACGCACAGTAAGTACACACGCTCTCTACTTAATATTTGACCTACAATATTTCACTCGTATATATTTATACAATTTTTTTTTTTTTCAAAATATATACATATGTAAGTATATACGAAAATTTTTTGTTGTACTCATTAAGTGGTCACGTGTTATAGTTTTTATTCTGCGTTGGTTTTGTTGTTGTTTTTTATATACATACATATATATGGTACATAGATAAATATTTCATGAATGTGTGTGGAGCCACCTGCTAGCTAAGTGGTCATTATACTTGCAAGTCAGAAGAAACTATTTTTTTGTGAATTCTGTTTGAAACGGCATAGTGTTTAGTATACCCCAATATCGTGCCGAAAACGACGTATTCGTCTGATTTAGCTCCGTGTCTATTCAGCAAACTCAAAGGATCGTTCCGCGAAAACCGTTTTGTGTCAGTTGAGGGCATTAAATGTGAGTCGCTACGTACATTGAAGGCTATTTCGGAAATTCACTGTAACAACTGTTTCGAGTATTGGGAAAAACGTTTGCCCAAGTGTATTGCGGCCTAGAGGGATTGCTTTGAGGGGGATGACATAGATTTTGAAGAATAAATTAAAAATTTTAAGATATTATTTTTTGCTCTTAGTAGTACTTGATAAACGCTGATTAATTTTGGAAGATTTTGTTTTTCCTAGATCTCGTAGTCGATCTAATTAGAAGTAATAATCGAAGGACTACGCAAAATAGCTTTATAGGAGCCGATATAAAAATTTGTAACGCTCATAATTATCCACGCCCATCCAATATGTTGGGACCTACTCGATCAATTTTTACCAAATTTGGTACATAACATTACCTGACGTTAGTATGTTATTGTGTGAAAATTGTCGAAATCGGATTACAATCACGTCTACTACCATATAACGTAATTTTAAATTCCAGTTTTTTTTCCCCTTTCCAGTGTACAAATTAAGCAACAATAAATGTGTTGAGATAAAATTGCCTGAAAAATGCCTTTAAGACATGCCGTCTGATAGCCACAAATTGTTAAAATCGGACTACAGCTATTTCAGCCGCTGGCTACCGACTATGTGGAGCACAGTTGCGATTGTCATTTTATTTACCAACATACTGTGAGCGTCAAAAATAAGTAAACAGCAGTTCTATCAATATTAAAGTGTTTATAACAACGCAATCTTTAATGCAACAATAAAAAGTTGTATTACAGAATTCAAGGCTTATATTAAAAGAGTTTAACTTAGTATAAATAATAAACAAAAACTAAACACAGCCAAAAATAATTCACTTAAATTAAAAATACTCTCGTTTTTTCGCGTCAAAAAAAAAGTAAACAGAGTTCCGTAAAGTTAAAAATACATATATGAAATTATGTACATAAACTAAATTGATATAAGAGTCTAATATTTTGTTTGCTTTCCTTTGGACTTCAAGACCTCCGTTAATCTTCTAGGCATAGATTCTGTAAGAACTTCTGGAGAGTTTGCTCCATTCTTCAGTCAAAGCCTGTTTTAGGTCGTCTTTGCTTGAAATGCTCCTCTGCCTTGATGCTCCTCCCCAGGTCTGGGGACTGCGGATCTGCAGGGGGATGGGGTCATGTGTAGAAGTTCACGCAAGTGAGGAAACTCTCTGATCGCCATTCACTTGGGAATGGCCAGAAACGATTCTTTTACATATCACTCAAGCAGCTCACGACTTCCGGTCTTTGACCAAGTATCCTCTGGGTAGCCTAAGAACATCCGTTCGAAGGCGAGCTAAAGTGAGAAGGCGAAATATTCCCTACATAGGGTT